GCTGCTCCTGATGCTGAAATCACGTTTGGTGTGAACGAACCATAAGTCTAACTATAGGATTTCTGAAAAAGGAAAGTCTTCAGTCTAATCTTAAAAGTAGACAGAGTGTCAGCCTCACGGACAGAAACTGGAAGTTGGTTCCACAAGAGAGGAGCTTGATAACTGAAAGCTCTGCCTCCCATTCTACTTTTAGAAACTCCAGGAACCACAAGTAAACCTGCATCCATGACACTTTTACATCAATGATGACACCCAAAAACTTCACATCAACTCACTTTATAAATCTCAGCACTAACTAAAGCACTCAGACATCAATAGCTTTCCTTCTGTTACCAAATATTGTGTATGTAGTTTGTTTTCTCCAAAATACAATAACTAATTTTGTTGAAATTAGGTTTATATTTTCACAAATTCTGCCTATATCGTCTCCATCATCCATTAAATATTTTCACYTGAACAAAGAAATGTGGTATTATCTACAAATAAAACACAAATCAAAGCCCTGACACATTGACCAAATTACATATAAAATTAACAGCTTTAGTCCAAGCATAGAACCCTGAGGAACTCCACATGTAATATTACAGAATTCAGCTCTCACATAATTTACTTCAACATACTGTTTCCTGTTTTTTAAATAACTARATACAGATTGTAGTGCTAATCCTCTAAAACCATATTTATTCTGCTTTTATATTTTTATTTCAAACTTTATTAATTTCTTAAAAACAAAATTCTATGTAAAATAAAAAGAATGAAATACAAATGCAGTGAAATGAAAGGCAGCAGAGAGAAGAAAAAATATTTTGAAGAAGAATGGTGTGGGTCAGTAGTGTTGAATGTTTTAAATAAAAAAACGCTCACGAAATATTGCTTTTGATCAACAGCTGTTGTTATCGCCATCAATTCCATGAGATCCATCAATGTTGAAATGTTTATAAACTCATATTGGCTGCTACATGAAATATTTTTTTAACTGTTAATCAATCCAATTTGGCTAGAAAGAATTTCTCTAATTTCGAAAACTGTGGTAACAAGGATATTGGTCTTTAATTTGTGAACACACATTTGTCACCGTTCTTATAAAGAGGAATTATCTTAGCTATTTTTATATTATCTGGAAATATTACTGTTGGAAATGATAAATTACATACGTATATGTAAATTGTTCAATACCACAACATGTTATATCCTTTACAAACATCATATCACTGCCCACCCAATATTTTGATCTTTTGTCTGCAAGATGTTTACAATACTCAGTRTTTTTCTCTTATTAGTTCTACCAAGAAAAATGCTGTTTGCAGAACCCATGCCTGTATGACTAACATTATCTACTTTTGGYATTTTAGCAGCATAATGCTATCCACTTTACATTTATTGGGAACATTTCTGCTGCTAAGGGARCAAATTAATCAGATGAGTCAGTGACCTTTCAAAAATTGTTATAGTTTCTCAAGAAGTTAGCATTTTTATGAAAAATATCTGTTTTGAATTTTTGTCAGTTATAGAAATAATCTTCGTCAGATTAGTTTGAAGCAAAGAAAAAGCTGTAGTGTGAGGAATCTTGGCTCTACTCAGTTCAACAGTGGGGACTTTAAAATTTYCAGTTAATTTTTCAATAAAAGAAGCAAATAATTTATTGAACTTATTGGCACTCCGCTTTTTATTTGTGACCAACTGATTCCCAACATTTAATCTGTAAGAACATAAATAGTACAATAAGTCCATTTGGCAATCTGGAAACAGTTTACTAGTACCAGAATAGTGTCTTTTAATGTCTGTTAATGCAGAAATATAATATTCATATACATATAC